GAGATTCTTATTAACATATGGTTTCAAAGGCCAGTGAAATTGTAAAATCTAATGAAAACAGAGTTCATAGATAAAATTCTATCTTTCCTTTCTTTTATGAGCCTCTTAAGAATTCAGGGCACCCTTTTAAGAGCCCTTAGAGAAGATTAACCTTTAACATCATGGTTACATCTGTTATCACATTCTACAATGTCACTGACACCACTTTTAGCCTTAGCCAGTTGATTTTGCTAACCATATTGTAAAACTAATAACATTTCCTTCTCTCAAGTCGAATAGAGGAAGATTCTGTCCCTCTCTTCTTTCTTCCCCCCCCACCTGGTTCAGCACTTCCTGAGAAGGTGCAAATGTTCTGTCTCTGTACCATTTGGTGTGGTAGCCACGAGCCACATGTGGTATTTGGAGTGCTTGAAATGTGGCTAGTCAATTGATGACATGAATTTCAAATTTTATTTAATTAACTTCAGCTTCAATGGAAATAGCTACATGTCACTGGTGGCTACCATATTGGAAGCACAGCTTTGGTGTTCTTTTCAGCACACACTGAATTCCTTTTTGTCCTAGTCATCTTTGCTCCCTTTCTGAGAGCAGGAATAATTCCTCTTACTGTAACTGGTTATGCTTGCACTAATAAAGGTATTTGCTTTCATTATAACTTGATTTATAATCTATGGGTTTTACCATAAACTAAAAATCAATTTCATTTGTCATAAAGATACCACATTGGACATTTAATTCTGTGCATTCCTTACACGACAGGGGATAGTATGCATTTGCTCCCTTAATTTGGGTCATTGTATTCTTTGATGGACCTACTTTGCAAATGGCTCTTCACTTGTCTATAAATATGTCTGTGTAGTTTCTATCTGCCATCTTAAATGCTGCCCATAATGAAAGCGGTGGAGTTGGAAAGAGGTTAGACTGCAGTTTGGATCCCAAATTCCCTCCTTGAGCAAGTTTTTTTCTTCTCCAAGCTGTGGTTCCCTCAGAGAACTGTTGTTAGGTTTCTTATATCAGAGCATATTTGGTTAACTTGTCTTTCTCCCACCTTGATCCCAGGACTTTTCATTTCTGAAACTGTGTAGTGCCTGATAATCAGTGCGAGTGCTCCATAGAGGTTTGTAGGGAGTAAGTGGAAAGCTGTATTTTATTTTTCTAAATGCCCCTGCTGACTCACTCACACTGTTTGCTCTCTTTTTCATATCGGTACATTAGGAGAAGGAATCGAAACTTCTTTGAAGAAATACTGAAAAGTAAAGGCTTTTGTGATTTATTTATTTATTTTAGAGAGAGCTAGAGAGGGAGTGCATGAGAGGGGGAGGGGGCAGAAGGAGAGGGAGAAAGAATCTCAAGCAGACTCTGCGCTCAGCTTGACACGAGACTCGATCTCATGACCCTGAGACCATGACCTGAGCTGAAATCAAGAGTGGGACACAACCTGCTGAGCCACCCAGGTGCCCCAAGGCTTTTGCAATTTAAAATAGATATTAATTTATAGTTTCCTCTATATTATATTTGAATGATGGGGTACCATTTTTTATGGATCCTTACCGTCTAAGAAATTTTTGCATTATATATTTTTAAAAATAGTTGGTCACTTAAAAATGTTTAGAGACTTGTAAAATAAATGATTCAGTGTAACAAGAGCTAACTTGTATAAAGCGTGTTCTATAGTAGACATCATCCTAGGTTGATAGATTCAGTGAAACTATCTCTAGTTTTGCACATGTCAAGTACCCAAAGAATAAACTGAAACAGGTGAGAATTAGGATAATAAGCCAGTTATCCAGAATGTGAGTCCCCGCAGATATGAGTTAGATAGAGAAATGTTTTAAGATTCTGAAAATATGATTGATGACTGACTAGTCATCTATAGCTGTGAGGAAGGCGAAGCTTTAAAATGTTTAGAGTAAAATTGAGAAAGTACAAGTACACCAAAAACAAGTTTAAGGTTTCTACTTGCAAAGCATTCAACCCAGTGCCCAAGAAAAGGCTTTCATCTTGAAAGATGAAAGAATTAAATTGAAACTAGAACACTGAAGGCAACTATGGAAGTACGCATTTATTTGGGCATATGGTAGTAATCCACTGAACACATAGTAACAATCTACTGGAGAATAACCAGAACAGATTTTCCAGGCAAAGATTCTGCCAGATCAACTTGCTTTTTATGATGGAAAAAGGAAGATGCAGAAAAGTACATATACTGTTATCTCGTTTATTTCAAAGTCACTTTAGTATCTCTCTATAAAAAACATTGCCTTCATCTTTATGAAAAGTCCTGCAGGTGCTGAATGGGATAGATTTCAGTGATCAATTTCATTATTTTCTGCAGTCAAAAGAGTTAATTGCATTGGGGAAAAAAATGTTTGCATGCTCTTCAATACGATGAGTGTGTGTAACCAGATTTCAGAGGAATGTAACGTCTGATTTAGTTATTGATTAAAGAGTTGAACTACAGACATTGAAGAAGCAGGATGAAATAATCTAAAATAGGAGGTCAGGGTATGTGCTTAAGTGTTTTTCACACAGAGACGCTCAAGCACATCTTGATTGACTAAAGGCCTTTGATGTCTAGCTGTCTTTTTTTTTTTTTTTTTTTAAAGATTTTAGAAAGAGACTCAGTCTCAGGAAAGAAACTGAGGGTTGCTGGAGTGGAGGGATGGGGTGGCTGGGTGATGGACATTGGGGAGGGTATGTGTTGTGGTGAGCACTGTGAATTGTGTAAGACTGATGAATCACAGACCTGCACCCCTGAAACAAATAATACATTATATGTTAATAAAAAGAAAAAAAAATACTAGAAAGAAATTGCAACACCTCAAATATATTTATGGCAAAATGATTTGTAACTGGCAGAGTTTTCAGTTAATATAATCGAAATTATTTAGCTCTTCTCTATGACAAGTAAAATTACTGTTTATCATGGATAGGTAATTACATATTTGGCCTAAAATTAATCAATATGAATATAGAAAAGCTGGCACTCATGCAGACTCAGGATCTCATTAAAGCAGAATTTTGTAAAGTGAGGTCAATCATACCACCTGTAGAATGAATAGAAAAGATTATAAATGCAAGAAAACAAACTTAATCATATAATTCTCATAGAATTATAAAATACCTCAAACTTCTTTCTGTATTTACAAATAATTTTTTATTATTTAATATCTAGGTCTTTTGAATAAGATACATCATTTTAGAGTTTGAATAGTTTGTTTTATATTAGCCAGCTGATAATGGAACTATAAATAGATTGCAGGTTAACTGGCCTTCTGTATGTGACTGAATGCTGGTTCGTGGTATTTCAGAGATATGCAGAACTCCATTTTTTTTTTCCTTTTAGCCAAGAATATTGGATGATAGACCATGATCATTACTTTATGAACTAGAGATGAACTAGGGATCAGATCATTCTTCTGAAAACATGAACTTTTAAACAAAGACAGGATATTGTTGAATGTCTATTGCTGGAGTACCACCTAATGTGATCAATGGGAAAATACTTGTTTAAATTAACTATAGCAGAGCTATCAGCTTTAGGAACAGATGCTCAAGTCGATCAGATGTCCAAAAAGGAAATTACTGATAAGGCTGAGAGACAGTAGAGGCTGTCCCTGGTTGATTGGTCTCCTATTACTCAGGGAAGGAGCAGTTTTGTGGAAGAGGGGATCATAATGCCAATGTGAAGGTGATAGCTAACTGAGAGGTTGTGAAGCTGATCAACAGAGGTTTCTTGCACCTGAAGTTGCCCCAGATGAGTCATCTTTTGCCATCATGTCTTTAGTCTTTGGAAGCTGGTGTGAAACAAGGCTTAGGTCTGTTTCCATCAGCCCTGCACCTCTCAGTCTGAATGGTTAAGGATATTCCATTTCACACAGTTGAGTGCTTAAGTCCCCATTAACTGTCTGCCCACTGGGGTGGTGCAGGGTTGAGTAAACGCTGACTCCTAAAGTCCCTGGAGTTATTTCTGACTGATCCCCCTTTTCAAATTCAGCCCATGAAGTGTGGGCTTGAGACAGGGTAAGTGGGCTTTCTTCAGCGCCCCAAATTTGTGCTTTTATTTGCATTTCTATTCTCAAGGGCTTTTATTCTTATTGGAATCTTAATCACGTGAAAATGTATTTCCGAAACATGGTTTCCTGAGTATAAAGTTCATAATTTAAGAATCTGAAGGTACTTTTCTGTACTAAAAACAGAAATAGTTATTGAACCAAAGACCTCACCTTTAAACCAGAGTATGAAGTACTGTAATTGATGATTTTTGCCCAGTTGTTTTCTATTCACAGTAGACATTTGTCACTGGACACCAGTCAGCCTTAAGCCAAATAGTGTTCTATCCAGGCAATGGCTTATTGTTTCCCAACTTTTTGAGATAAATGCTGGTGATGTTCTGCTTTCAGTAATTTATTGAGTTTTAAGGGAAATTAAGACAGTAATTTCCTTTCCTAAAAAATTAGCTCTTGTAGAAAGAAAAATAACATGGGCCTGTTGTACATACTCAATTAGTACATAAATATGTAAAAATTAAGTGTTTACTGTGTTTTCAGTAGTAATCCCATCTAATATGTATCTTTGCAAACATGTTATATGCATGTAGTTGCTTTCTTTTCTTCTCTCTATCCCTCTCTTCAAATATATGGATGAAAGGAGAAGAAAATTATATTTGAGTGTGCATATATATTATACATAAGCTACTGAAACTTGCTTTTATAATTTCACATTATATCAGGGTCATTCTTCTCAAAAGACTCATATTTATGCCTTTGTGGCGTGTAGTTATCCGTTTTAAATTTTGATAGATATTACCAACATATCTGCATATTTCATCTTCTTCAAAATAACTATTTCTTACAGGATTTTTTTTTTTAACAAGAAGTCAACCTCTTTCTGGAATCTGAACATTAGTTGGTCATACAAGATTGTGAGTCTAAGGGAAGATATATAATTTTTTAACACAATTCAAACTTCTAAATGTGGTCAATACTGTCTCTCACCAGGGCCCATTTGGAGGCCAGTGCTGAGAAGTGGAACAGGTTGCTGACATCCTTAGAAGAACTGATCAAATGGCTGAATATTAAAGATGAAGAGCTTCAAAAGCAAATGCCCATTGGAGGGGATGTCCCAGCCTTACAGCTCCAGTATGATCACTGTAAAGTAAGTTAGCTGCATCTGGTGGGGACCTTTTTAAATTTTTTTATTTTCAATTAGCCAACATATAGTACATCATTAGTTTTTGTTGTAGTGTTCAGTGATTCATCAGTTGCGTATAACACCCAGTGCTCATCACCACACGTGCCCTTCTTAATACCCATCACTTGGTTACCCCATTCCCCCACTCCCCTCCCTCTGTAACCCTGTTTGTTGATGGCAAAGTATATACTCAAAATTCTAGATAAATATGAGTTGAAGCAATCAACACAGGATTTCACCCTTGCCCCCCATTTCTTTTATTTATTTATTTATAGATTTAATTTATTTGAGAGAGGGAGTGCGAGCAGGGGGAAGGGCTGAGGGAGAGGGAGAGAATCCTCAAGCAGACTCCCCGATGAGCTCGGAGCCCGATGTAGGGCTCAATCCAGTGACCCTGAGATCATGACCTGAGCTGAAACCAAGAGTTGGACACTTAACCGACTGAGCCACCCAGGTGCCCTCCTACCCCCCATTTCTAATTATCAGTATTTAGACACTTAATTTAAGTTGCATGTATTACTTCCATTTGTTTCAGATTAATTTCTCTTCATATTTAATTAATTTTTTTCAAACGTTACAGATCTCTAAAGCATCATATTGCTTTTAGTGTATCAACATTTATCTAACTTTCTAATAGATTTTAAAATATTAATATATTCTATTGGGGAAATATTTTTACTACAAGTGAGTTCTTAAACTGAGAAGGCATAGAGTTATAAAGAATTGCAAATTATCATGTTTATCATGTTTATAATAAATGGAAGTGAAAAAAAAAAGGACCTGTAGAAGTATGAATATAAAGTCTTAAAGCAAATGAGGGCCATAGTATTTAGATCATTTTATATGTTTTATTTTTCTGAACTTAGACCTTTTTTTGAGTTACATTTTTATTCTGCTCAAATTTCTGTCTCTCTGCAAATCTGTACTTTTGTACTTTTACTCTGAGAAGCAGATATGCTGAAATGTTATCAACTGACATGTTAATTCTTAGAACTTTGTATTATTTAAATTCTTTGCCTTATTAACTCTCTATTTGTTTATTTAGTACTCCTTCATGTCCATTTTCTCATGTACTACACATGGGCTTGTTTTGTTATATATGTATAGTTTTTACTCTTCACATGCAATGCAAGTTCTCATTCTAATTAAATGTGATGTTAGAATTCTCTTCCCTTTGGAAAAGCCACAACACTAACACACGCATCTTCTAAAGGAAGAAAGGAAGATGTCATCTAGGTAATAAGTTTGCTTCAAAATGATAAGACCTTGAAAATTATTTTACTTTGGGTCCTTGTGTCTAGGTTATTCAAATTACCATTTGGGTAAATTTTCCCTTTCTACTTGAAAAGAGACTGTGATAGAGAGAATTCCAAGATAAGAGAAAAGAAGACACTGTTGGAATATAACATGCAAAATAATCATAACAACAACAACAAACAATGACAGAAGATTTTAAATCACTGATTTAGGAAAATCATGTTTCTCCTTTTTTCAGCTTCCCCTTCTATTAATTATTCATATACCTTTTTTGTGGATTCAGGTGATGAAATAGAATAATACAAAGCTCTTCTAATGGAAGTGCTCTGTTAAGGAATAAAATCTGCTTGTGACCATGTTCTGCTAGTTTTGATTAAAACCTAGTTCTTGAGGCATGAAATGATTTTCCTCTTCCGGCCTTAGCAAGTAAAGTGCACATCAGTGTTTCCAGTAAGTGCTGGCTATGTTCTTTCTAAGCCCTCCTTTGAACAAGGTCAGCCTCTTTTAGGCTGTGTTTCACTTAGAGTCTTAGAGTGCAGTTGCTCTGCACCATCCCTTTAGGCCTGGGTGTTTAGATAATAAATATAATACTGATAATGATGCTGATGATCATACTGGTTCATTCGTTCAGCAAGTATTTATTGAGTGTGTCATATGCTTCAGGCACTATTCTAAGCATTGGTGAGTCAACAGTGAACATGATAAAGTTCTTGCCTGACTCCGAGTAGTAAGAGAAAGACATTAGACAGGCAGTAAATACATAATAGGTCTCATGGTAGTAAGTACTATGAAAAAGGTAAAGCAAGGTCAAGGAGAGAGAGAGGGATGCGAGAGTATAAATTGCAGAGGTGCTGTTTTATGTGGAGAAGGTCAGGAAAGTGCCATAAATGAGGTGGTTTTTGAGACGAGAACCTATGGAAAGGTGAGGCAGGACGTGATGCTATCCCTGGGGAAGACAGTGTAGGGAAAAGGGGATAGACTCACACAGGCCACAGAGGCTGCAGTGTTCTGGTCATATCTGAGGAATAGCATGGGTACAAATGTTGTTGAAGCACTTCAGCCAAATAGAGTGGTAGGAGATGAGGTTGGGGTGGAGGCAGGGGGAAAGGGTTTAAATCACCTAGGTACTTGAAAGTCCTTTGTAAGGGCTTGGCTTTTACTCCAAGGGAGATGGGAAACCATGGAAGGTTTTGATCATTATACTGCTGCGATCTGACTTACATTATATGATAATTACAGGTGAAATTATGAAGAAGAAAATATAGAGGAGTTCAGAAATGTATTTCAGTAGTCCAAGTGGGGGATGGCAATGACTTGAACAAAGGTATAAAGGTAGAGGTAGAAGTAACTGGTTTTTGAATATATTTGGGAAGAAGCAACAGGATGTGCTCATGGGTTGGGTATGTGGAATATAAGAGAAAGAGAAGGGCTTATAGTGGCAGGAATCAAAGGTTTTTGGATAAAGCAAATGGGGCAATGCCTCGGGGGAGAATGTGGGGTCAAGTAATGACTTTACAAGGATGAGGACAAATTCTACATGGTTCTATGCTGATGGGAATGATCTTATAAAGTCAGAAAAGTCAGTGATGCAGGAGAGAGATTAGCAGGTAGGGGATGGGATAGGATCCAGGGTACAAGTGTAGCAGTTGGTCTCGGGTAGGAGGGCAAAGAGTTCATCCGGTCTAACAAAAAGGTAGCTTTGTAGATCTGTGTGTGGGAATATTTAGATGTCCTCTTCTGATTGCCTCTGTTTTCTCAGTGAAGTAGGGAGCAGGGTCATCAACTGAATACGAGAAGAAGGAAGACAATGTGGAGGTTTGGGGAGAGAGGAGACAGAAAATATAGTCTAGGAGTGGGTGAGTTAAACTAGGAATGTCAAGAAGACCACGGGGCATTATGAAGGGCCCCCGTGAGGTCAGTGCTCATGAATTTAAAGTGAGAACAGCCAATGTGAATGTTTTTCTTCGCCCATGGTTGAGTTGCCTCATTGAAGGTAAGGAGTGAGTTGGAAAGTTGAATTGAACCAAGCATATGTGATGGAGGAAGAGAGGGGAAAGGGGTTACAGAAATGCAAGGGAGCTATGGTAATGATCGCATGTGGAATTGAGGCTGGGGGAAGGGAGATCTGAGGATATCAGGGAGATGAGGGACAGTAAAGTGATGTTAGAAGTCAATGAATGGGACACGGCAGGGGGCTGAGAAATCATTCAAGTTAGGGACCTGGGGAGGGGCACAAACTGTAAAGAAAGCTGGTTTTAGTCAGAGAAGGGGTGCTAGAAGGGACATTTATTGTTTTTTGTTTTGTTTTATTTATTTTTATTTTTTTTTAAAGATTTTATTTATTTATTTATTTGACAGAGAGAGAGAAAGCGAGAGAGGGAACACAAGCAGGGGGACTGGGAGAGGGAGAAGCAGGCTTTCTGCGGAGCAGGGAGCCCGATGCGGGG